AACTATAAAAAAGAATAAAAAATATGTACTCGTGGACCACCGCTATTGATCCCTTCCTCTACGTTGCTTTCTACGGTATTCGGTTTATCCTTATTGTCATAACATTTTTTAAGTTATTGACTTGATTTTATTTAAGATCTTTTTTGAACGAATCTAACTACCAATTGTTATCTATGTATATAACGTTTATATTATACTACTGATCAGCACCCAGTCCTTTGAACATTCCCGACTACAAAAATGTTTTTCGGTTTAATAATAATAATATTTTATTGATTTCTCCTCACAAACACTGTACCTACAAATTGGGAACAGATACATGTAGAATTTTAGATAATACGTTACATAAATTTACCATTACAATCAAATTGTGAGAAGCTGGTGCCAGAAATAGGTACAACCAGTAATTCAGATCTCAAGAACCGCCAACCGAAAAGACATGTGACATACTTTAAATAAATTACAATGCTTATACTAAACCAAATAAATTATAATTATAATAATATTTAGAATTAAACAAAAAATAATATATAATATATAGACTATATAGTCTACAAGGTGACCCGTCAAACATTGTATTGCCATGTGGTATGTGTTGATGCGACTCGAATGCTCAGATGGTAGGTTTGATGGCTTCAGCAGATTACAGGGTTGTTGAAAATGATAGAATTTGCTTACTATCTTAAATTAAATGGTAAATATACTATTAGTTACAAATTTGGTGGAGTGAACAAATTGTACGTTAGATCGATCGGTTGATATTTGAAGTCTGTACGTTACTTTGCGTATTTAAATTGGATGGGTGTGCGCTCCAATCAGAACGCTCCCTTTGTGTTGCGTTTTGTTGCTGCTTGTACCCGACACCATGTAATTTTATAAATTAAAATCGCTATTAAATAATAGGGGTTGGTGATAGAAGGGTTCTATGTATTTTTATTGCCTCTTTATAAAAATATATTAATAAACAATTTTGTCCATAAAATTAATAATAAATGTTAGGGGTGGAAAACCCTTATCACTTAGGGCCAAAATGATAAATTGATAGTGGACGATACTCAGACCTACTAAATACGTATACAAACTTTCATAAAATATAATATATCTATATATATAATTTATATACATAAAAGTTTCGGAGGACGAGTATGGTTACCTAACATTGTGACACCACAATTTTATATATAAGATGACACCCACAAATTTTCAACAAGCTTTCAATTGGTAAAATTATCTTCGAATTCGATACAGTATATCCAGAGATTATAGAACCTCATAAGCTTTGCTGTTTTATAATATTAGCATAGATTATTATTTATTAATATGTGAAGCAAAAACTTTGTACCCCTTTTGTGCGAACGATTAAGTATGATTTTTCGCACAGTTATACTTCATGTAATTAATGACTGCTCTGCTTCCCTATATAAAGTATAAAGGAAGGACTGCAGGATGCATTTTTGTTTTATTATCCATACAAATACATCAAATCAATAAAAAAAACATTACACACACACGCATAAAATTATTATAGTAATATTAATAATGTTCAAACTTAAACTTAAATTTAAACATTTAAATTAATTACGGTCGAATTTCGGCCATTGAATTGCGACCACTAGTCTTTTTAATAAGTGAAATTACAATAACTCATTATGGCCGTACTTTCTACGTACGTAGTTAACTAACATATTGTACAGTGAGTAACATTATCGTAACAGGTGACACGATCGTAAACGTGTACTGAAACTCCACACGTAAGTACACTAAACTGTTTTACAGCCGTTTAATGTTTAAAGTTAACTGCACTTACACAACGAACTAATTTCAAATCCACTATACGATGCTATACTGAAGTTTCGTTCGAAACGAGTTCAACTGTAATCGATTTATGTATGTAAAAAAAAACATATATATATATATATGTTTTTTTTTTACATTGACGGCCTCGGCCACGGTTGTTTAGCGGTTTAGCACACCGCTTCATTTCCGATGGTCTTGGTTTTGATTTCTCGCACGGTACTAACATTTATCAGTATTCGTAACTATCATTATTTGTTCGGTATGGGTGTTTTTTATGTATAATATATATGTATTTACGAAGAAAATATATATCTATTTATTTTTATCTGTTATCTAGTACCTATAACACAAGCTTTAGCTAATTTTCGTCTAACTAAGCCGTCAGATATGTCTGCTTTTTCATGATTTAAAAGTACGTCCTCGTGACAATTAACCTTTAGATATTTAATTGAGAACTGTCCAGTTGTCACTTATGAAAAAATGACACAAACATCAGCCGTCAGCCACTTTCGCATATATGTATTATCTTAGTATGATATATTATTATAACAAGTTCTAACAATTGGCTTTTGCGTTGCTAAATTTTATATTGATATCTTTAGGTATTTAATTGAGACTTGTTCAATTGTTAATAATGAAAAGATGACAAACACACCGTCAAGCACTTTCATACATATAATATATTACATGAATATGGTATACAACAAGTTCTAACAATTGGCTATTGAGTTGCCAAATTTTATATAGATATCGGGTATCATACCGACTGACAGGTCGTCCCAAGGGACGAGTTTGTGAAGTGTACATGTTCCAATCGAACATTTCGATGTTCGAAATGATAGGAACCCGGTGAACAATGTGTATATATATACTAGTATATGTGTAATGTAGCAATTCAGAAATGAAATAATGTGCATCTATGTTGGGTATGCATTATTTCTGATATGAACGGCGCTCAATTATTATATTGGCGATCTTAGGCTGACCGATTATTATAATGAATGACGGCCTCGGTGGTCTAGCGGTGTAGCACCGTCTTATTTCCGATGGTCGCCGGTTCGATTCCTCCCACGGCACTATTTGTATTCTCGAGTTTGATAGTTTGAATCGGTCTGGGTGTTTTCTAAAGAGTAACAAACATCCATACTCACAAACTTTCGCGTTTTTAATATTAATAAGATCTAATTGCAATGTTAACTTTCAAACTAGCCTTTACTGTTCAGATTTAAATTATCAAATTTAAAGTCTCTTTTCTACATTCTCATTGACATCATTAGCCCCATCATTTACTCTGCGAAAACTCTGAAAACCGCAAGGAAACCGCTCCGAACATTCTAGTATTTCACCTACGAGCCTTACTGTAATCAACTCTTCCAGCACATAACAACGATATCCTTTGCCGTCTGAAAACTGAATTGCACTCGGAATTGAACTTAATTTTTATATATATAAGGCAGGTTGAGGAGTTAACGATGTGACAAAGTTGCGTGGTTTGAGCAGTTTCGATACCCTAAGGCTTCGCATTGTGGGTGTAAAAAGTGCCATAAAAGTCGACGATCGTCTAAAACTCCGAACTCCTGGCCGCAGTAAACCTAAATTGCTGGAAGTCTTAGGGATAATCTTAATAAGTAACAGTCGAAATCGATTCGCTAAGATTTATATTCTGTGGTAAACAGGTTATGTTTATGACATGGTTTTTATATAGGTCCCTAATACACCTAGTTTATTTTGATTGCTTTTAATGTACTACCTACTGTGTAATATTATCTTACCTGTGCTGTTAGTTTTGTTATATATCTGTAATATAGGTTTATACTAATTGATATTGTTTGTTGAGCTTTCTTTACATGATCACAATCTATCTTAACATCATATTTTATTAAGATCTGTTCAGCTAATTTATTGTGAAAATTTAATTAGGGGAAAGGGGTTTGTTTGAACGGGGAAAGCAATGTGGACTGATGACATCATTGTTGCAATGTAGCATGTCAGGTTGACCTCCACGCAGTTCCACCTGAAAATCATCATGATAAATTCCTGGTATATTTGTCACTATGGACTAGCTGACCTGACCTGACCTCATGTTCATCTTATCATTCTCCACTGGTGCTCTGCCATCGTAAACCGTTAGCACAGGTGGGGGCACCAATCCTTTATCATCCATAAAAAAATATGCAGACAGACACACATTTGCATTTACAATATTTATAGGTATGAGAGGTTGGGAACTAATGAGGTTTTTGGAGCAATGTACTTTTTAATTCCATAGTCATTCATTAAAAAAAACGTCAATATTAAAATTATGAACTATTTTGTACTTGAAAATATTCAAATAAACAAATTTAATCTGAGAGATGATTTCAATATTCCAAGAGGAATTTAAATCGTAATTTAAAACATGATTAAAACATAATCAAGTTTTAAAGTCACCGCTAATGGCAGACAATATAACAGGTGATAGAGCTGTGAGGATATTTTTAAACGTTAGTAAATGTATTCCACTAAAATAAACATATAGTTGAAAAAAATTAAAAAAAAGTTAAAATATCATACATATGATTCTCATACAACTAAAAACACTAATAAAATTAACTATTTATTTGATATATACACCTTCCTTTAAAATTATAGTTATCAACGCTATCTAATTGACAATCACTAAAATATTTCAATATTTAGAAATAAAAATAGCACAAAAGCACTTAGATCCTCGTAAGCAGAATGTAACTAAATTAATAGTTCACACTGTACTACATAGATGGCGCTGTAATGATTAATAATACCTACAAACAAATTAAAGAAAACAAAAATAAAAATACGTGTTTATTTAATCGTAACAAATAATGGAAATAATTTATTACATTGACTATAATAAATTAATTATTATTCTTAGCCTTACTATATAAAATTAATGAAGTAATCAGCTGTATTTTTAGTTTAATATTTTGTCACTCTTTATATCTTTGTTTAGTAGTTATAATTTGAAAGATACGTCTAAAATTATTTCCTATTATCTTATTAGAGAAAGATTTAGAGATTGACTTCATTAACAACTAAACATATATACAAATACGAATAACATTAACATTTTATATATAGAAAAGTGACAAAGAGAAATTTTGTCGTTTGAATCTATTTTGTAGTTAAAAAGCTAAAAAACAAAACACAAGATTTGTAGTTATTTTTCTTAAATTACAGTCCATGTGTGCTTTAATATTAAGATTTTTAAAGCTTTACATAAAATATTTTACACATTTTGTGAGCAACTTATAGGAATATAATACTATAAATATCTGGTTACACTATCAGAATATATACTTATTGTTCTAAATTTAAATATTGTCATATTAATAACCTGAATATACAGAAATAAAATTACTATGAGCTTGAGACTATAGCTTTAAGAGAAGTTGAATTAAAAAAATAACCTCTTTGCTAATACAATTTTGTAAACAGCGTATAGAAACAGGGATTATCAACATTTGGTTCTTTATTATTAAAATAACTGTAACTATTCAAATTATGTAGTTCTACATGTAGTGTAGTAAAAAAATTGTACAGCCCTCTGTTAATACAACCTTTGAAACAGCGTATAAGCCACAGCCGAGGTCCATATCAATGTGGACGGATCCAAATATTGAGTGCCACTGGTGCTGCATGCGCTTTCGTTGTTATTGAAATTAATAAATGGTGTGTCTTGCAGACTGTAGTTAGCTACTGCTTGATCGAGTTTTATTGCATCACTTTCTTTCAGATGAGGCGATCTGATCAACTTCCAGATTTCGTCTGAAAACAATTAATTAAACCTTAATAATAATCACAGTTTTAATTCATCATACTCGTGAATGAGTGCTGCTTGTAAGTACTGGCCTGCTCTGATCGCAATGACTGATTTAATCGTATTTTCTTACTCAACCAATTCCTAGATACACATTTACATTTTTAATTTTACCATATTGTAGAGGCTCGCAGGCCTGTACTGTAACTGCGCGCAACTTAAATATGTCACTTGGTTGTCTCATATAAAATTAAATTAAATAAACGACTGCTTTGTAATTTTATTTAAATATATGATGTAATGTTAGGACAATTATTTAAAGGAGCAACACGCAAGTTTCTCGCTCGTTTTTTTATGACAAGCCAGCTTTCTGAATGATTGGTAGATTAAAAAATAAGATATGATAGGAGTTATATTATTCAAATGTGCTTAAATGTATGTTTAATTGATTAAAGAATTTTCTATTCTATTCTATTTAAAACCCATAACCAACTTTATTCTTCAACCAATTCAAAATAAGAAAGTTGCCATATAACTATATTTTTATATAAACTAAGGTTAGTTTTTGGAAATAGTAATCCTATTAAATGTTCAATTTTTATTTAAGTTTTCTTATGGCGATCGCATATATGTATTTCTATTTATGTTATTAGAAATTAACTACATTTTATATGTACGTAATAGAGATGAAAGAGTAAAAAAACCACTTTATGTTCACAAGAAGTGACAACGAATAATAAGATAAAATTAAAAACTTGATCTAACTTCGTTTTTATACACCTACCACGAATAATTAACTAACCATAAGCCTTTTGAAAGTTTCATAATCGTCAAAATAGAATTAACAAAAATATCTAGAAATGTTTCCAATTATACACGATTTAATATTTATATAAATGATAATATCCAGATAATCGTACTTATAACATACAATTGAATCCATGACCACCGGTGTGGTAACAAGGTGTGCTACCACGTGACCATCGATGCCGTCGAATACAAAAATATACAAATTACTTGTAAATACGCAAATAAAACAGCGAACCTTTTTATTTCTTCAATGTTACGAGAAATAATTACATTAAGTCCAGGTAGGTACCTACCTTATGTTTTTTTATGTCCAACTATATTTACGTCATCTAATTATATAAAATATTATCGTAGTGTAAGTATAAAAGATATGGATTAAAGGAAATGAGACGTGAACAAATTAACAGCAAATAAATCACGCGGCTTTCCGATCGATTGAATTTGGCCTCCACTGAACCAACAAATTGCTTAGACGCTACCGCTTGTTAAAAAAAACTTTAGCGTACTCATTAAGATTAAAAAAAAAGAATTAATTCATCTTGTACAATAACTCGAATCTTACTTTGCGTGTCATCATCATTTGCTTCTTCCTTATCCCATTTATTTGTGGTCGTCGTAATATGTTTTTCGCTTCCATTCATCCCTGTTCGCAGTCATCGCGTTATTTACTTCCTTTCTTACCATATCATCTTTCACACAGTCCATCTCTTTTTCGGCCTTCCTCTGCCCTTATAACCATCCACATTCATTTGTAACACCTTTCTTAAAATATTATCCTCGTTCCTACGCATTACATGTCCATACCATGATAGACGATTACTCTTCAACCTCTCTAACACCGGTGCCACTTTCATACTTCCTCTAATGTATTCGTGTATTTGAAGAAAAATCAAATCTGTATAATATATGAAGCAAAAAGTTCGAACCGTTTTCACGAATATTGAGCGGACGGAGATGTATGAAATTTCGCACACTTATCATTATCATCATTGCATAGTATAAAACAAAGTCGCTGTACACACAAAACTACGCAACGGATTTTGAAGCGTTTTTTTTAATAGAGTGATTCTAGAGGAAGGTTTATATGTATAATACATGTACACCCGGACGAAGCCGGGGCGAGTAGCTAGTAGTTTATATAAAGAAGGAGTAAATTCTAATATTTTCTTTAATATACATAAAAAACACATGAATATATAAAATATATAAAAAATCATATACACTTTTCAAGATTTTTACGGAATTAGAAAATAAAGAAGTCATGCTAGCATGAAGCATGAAGTGGCGGTAAACATCTAGATATATAAGTACAATATTATTATATTATTGGTTCTTGCATCCATTCTTTGTCTTTGATGAAGGAACCAGAATACGTTCTATGAATGATTCCCTGTGGTCCTAACCATCTACGCCTTGTAGATAAATTAATAAACCAATTTGGACCACTTGACCTCTGAAGGTCGATGGCACACGTCGACCCTTTGATTCACTTGCTATCAATCTGTACTCGATACTCCCATCAATATAGCTTAATTAGATCTACTTAGGGGAAGGATGTCAGTAATGTAGTCCACATATTATAATATAATAAAGCATATGATTATCATTATTCTAAGCTAATTTCGCTTCTTATTCTTGCTTCCATTAAAAAATCAGTTTGAAATAGAAATTAACGTACAAAGTTTTTACATGTCGTCTAGATTTAAACTCGCGACCTTTTGTTAGTCGTATTAAACCACTACGTCACAATCGTCTCAAATCAAACCATCCGTTCGATCCCCTGGTCCAAACGTGGGTCGAAAGGACGACGGCCTGAACCGAGGTTCCAACATTTAGCAATGCGCTCTGATGATCGCAAGACTAACCCGAACTAGTGGGGGGAAGAGGGGGGAAGTAGACTGATAGTAATGTGGATTTCATGTTCCATTTCAGATTGGCCTTCACGCGGTTCCCCTGGAAACCATCGTGAATTCCTGGTGAATTTGTCATGATGAACTAACTGACCTGAATTCATGCTCTTATCATCCTCCACTGATTCCCGTTGTCATAAACCGTTAGCGTAGACGGGTACACCATTCTATTATCATCCATGAAAAAAAATTATATCCTTACATGCAATCACTAATTTCAATAACATCATATACTAGGGACCAAATGAGAGGTTGAATGCAGACACAGAGTCCAACATACAATACAATACAAAATTCTAGCGACGAATCAGTGCAAGTTTTTGTAAACAAGTGACCTGTCTTATTTTTATGGTTAACATGCGAACGACGCTTTTATATTATATATATAAACTCGACCCGAACTATTAAAAAAAACGAGTTTTCATTTTCAAAATATCTTTATTCATGTAGGTCTATTACAGACTCTTACTTGTCAAATCTACCGGCTATTTCGCTTGGGTGTACATATTTCATTTAAATTCAAATTTGGGAGAATACCAGCATATTATATATATAAAAAATCCTTCCTGAACTTGAATTACTCTTGCATCTATTAAAAAAAACGCCGCCACAAGTTTGAACTTTATAGCGAGCATGACTGAAAAATCTGTTGCGTACTTTTGCGTAGACTTAAGCATATATGGGGCAGACAGCGACTTTGTTTTATACTATGTAATGATATAAAATATTTAATATATAATTTTGATTTGATTTGATTTGATATCCATGTATATCTATATCCATATATATATAATGATCCAGTATTATATATACTTACACGTACTGCTGTTACCATCTTCACTGTCGTAGCATGAAAAAAGAACAGCATAATGCTCGTAGTCCACGTCCAGGAATGAATAGCTTTCAGCTTTTTGATCTGAAAATTAAAATTATATAGTTTATTTTCAACCGACCTACTTCAAAAAGTAGAGGTAGTCAATTGAACTGTATTTTAAATTATGTCTTTTTAACTACTTATAAATAAATTATTAACCTGAATAAAATAAAAATAAAATAATGAAGGAACACGTATTCATTCATTTATTTTGTTTTATATCATCATTAAATATTTAACAATTTACATTTACTGTTATGGATGGAGTATTATGGATTTCTCAGTTGGTTATTATTTGGGTGTATGTGAATTGTCTAAAAATAATATTAATAAACTAGCTGTTCCCGCGACTTCGATCGCGTGGAATTTAACTTTATTTCTCTACAATATAATATATTTTTCTAAAAATTATATAATAAAATTTTTCTAAAATAATAGTAGCCTAAGTTACTCCTTATTACATCAGCTACCTGCCAATAAAACTCCCGTCAAAATCGTTCGTCATTGCCGAGATTAGCCGGAACAAACAGGCAGACAAAAATGCTAAAAAATGTTATTTTGTTGTAAGTGCCGTATTTATATTCATATGCACGTAGTAAAAAACGTTTATTTCAATATTACAAACAGACACTCCAATTTTATTTATATATAGATATAATATTAAAGTTCATTTACCTGTATAAGTGATCAATAACAGATCTCCTATGGTTGTGCTGTTACTATTTGGGTCGACGGTGATGACCACAGATCCATTATAATAGGAAGCTGTATTATTGGATATCCAACTTATTGAGACATCTGTAGAGTTCATATGGTTGAACATAAGCGTGGCACATTCTGCCCCTTCTAAATCAAGTTCTGTGGCCGCCGCTGTTATGTACCATTTTCCATCAAGCTGAAAAAAACATAATATCTATACATTCATACTGAAAAACTTTACCCCTTTAATTGCGAAGACGGAGATGTATGAAATTTCACACATTTATAGTTTATTAGCTGTCCCGGCAAAGGTTGTTTTGCCTTGAAATAAAAAAAAATTGGGGGGTGGACTACCCCTAACATTTAGGGGGATGAAAAATAGATGTTGGTCGATTCTCAGACCTACTCAATACGCTCACAAAATTTCATGAGAATCGGTCAAGCCGTTTCGGAGGAGTATGGGAACGAAAACTGTGACACGAGAATTTTATATATAAGATATAGAGAACGAGTGCAGAATGCTAATATTATTTAAATATTATAAAAAATACTTTAAAGAAATAAACAAAATTACACACACTACCAACATATGTATTAACATATTATTAAACATATATGTATTTTGACACTCACGTGCATATGTACTCTTTTGATTATTTTTAAAGTCCGTAGTCAAATTTAGAATAGATTAATTTTGTTTACTTGTCCTAAATATAAAATTGTTTATCCTTAATATTATTTTTTTATACTTTATATGTTACTGAATGTTAAATTTATTTTTGTCGAATTTCAACTACTGGGCGATCATTAGTAATAAGAATATCGTATCTTACGAAACAAAATACAAGTCACACCCATTTCGGTCGCCAATCAGCTTACTGTATATGCTATTATTTTAATTGAAGGTTGAAGATATAACAGTGTAATTACAGGGTACAGAAAAACGACACAATAGTCCTTCAGAATGGTAACTAATGGCAAGAAATGCTAAACCATAGCCGTATGTATATGTGATAAACAAATAAGTGGTATCACGGAGGTCATGATGACGTGGGCCGCCTGTAAGATCCCTTACGTTATATATCATTCAAAAATATTGTATTAGATCATAACTTGAAATTGCCTTGAAATTAAAATGTTATTGTGTAATACATTCTATAGGAATCTGTTCTTATTTAATAATAACAACCTTTATATGTTATGAAGACTTTTAAATCGCATATGTGTTGGTGGGCTAAAGCCTGGGTCTAGGGTATTAAATCACATAACAGACAAATATGTAAAAAAACCGGTTTTGGTCGTCGAACAGTCAGCACTACGCTTTCAGACTATATCCGAACTCTATTCAATGCCTAATGAAGCCCCGTTCAGAGGCCAAACACATGTTTATGGGTATATGGGTGTAGTGTAGACTCAATAACGGTTGGAATTTGATCACCATTAGAGAATATATAAATCCATTAAGTATTTAAAACAATATTTTGCATCATAAGAAATTATTTAGGACTCGACTATCGCTAACACGCAAATATAATTCTTTCTGAAAATAGCCATTAAAGCAGAAGTAAATATTTAATTAAGAGTAAACGTTATTATTGTGAAATAAGAGATGAGGGTAGATATTCCTTACATTGTATCTTAAACCACGGCTACAATAACAAACACGGACGTAAATAATCAAACCCACCCAGCAAAATCAAATGCATAACACAGGCATCATATCCTCTGTTTGTACACGCGATTTTACATCATATTTATTATATGTTACGATCTAAAATGGTTGAATGGATATGACCTAAAGATAGAACTATGCCAATTGAATATAACAAGACACCTTTATGAATCAAGATGATACAAGACAAACATAATAACAATGTATGAAACACGCCTACCTATAGATTCTCGTATAATGTCATTAGTTAACGAATTATATCATTATCATCATTACATAGTATAAAATAAAGTCGCTGTCGCTGTCTGTCCGTCCCTATGTATGCTTAAATCTTTAAAACTACGCAACTGATTTTGAAGCCGTTTTTTTAATAGTTAGAGTGATTCAAGAGGAAGGATTATATGTATAGTACATGTACAGCCGTGCGAAGCCGGGGTGGGTAAATAGTAATATATATAAATGAAAGATATATGAGGAAAACTCTTATAGGGAGATTTTATCAATGCGTAAAGATATACGCTGGCGGGACAACAGTGGAGGATGATGTGAGGTCAGTTGATCCTGAAACCCCCAGCAAAGAACAACTGTCACTATCATTTCCAGATCGGACCGCGTAGAGGTCGACTTGATATTGTATATTGCTAGCGTTTGTGTCAATAGTCCTTATTACTAACAATTCTCTTTGGGCCTAAGACATAGTTCATATGAATGTAATCTAATACATCCTTCCCAGTCAGTATGTTTTCATCTCAGGATTCTACTTCATCATGTACGTGGCCCAACATTGTTTCAGGACTTAAAAACAGTTGATGGAATTGTTATAGAAACTTACAAAGCCGCTTGCCAAGATAGAGGTTTGCTAGAAGATCAGATAGAAATAAAAAAATATCCACCCGTGCGAAGCCGGGACGGGCCGCTAGTAATGTATATAGAACTTTTATAAAACCATTGCATATAAATGCAATTATTTTATTAAAGTAGGTGTATAATAACCCTGGACAATTCTAGTGTAAAGTCTCAAGCTTACCAGAGCTTGTATTATGGTTACTGAACAACTGATCAAAACAAACAATCATAGTCATGAATACAAATGGTCGAATGAGGAATCGAACTCGCAACCATTAGAAATAGGACTAACTAACAGCTAGACCATCGAGGCCGGATACAAATGTATGTCTGTCTGTTATGGAACGTTTCTCAATCGATCTTTATGGATCATCTTTAAGAGATGTTGTTAGAAATAATATCCAAATAATAAAAGTTATGATTTTTTTTTATCGATCCAATATAAGTATTGTTAGTATTAATGTAATTCATAACTATACATCTAATTTTATAAATGTGGAAGTTTGTGAGTGTGGATGGTAGAATAAATGGATGTCTGTTACTCTTTTATGCAAAAAATTCAATAAAACTTTATTACTATAATAAAGCTACATCAGAATAATATATAGGTTATAAATTACACGCAGGTGAAACCGCGGGCACAGCTAGTATGTATATATATGTGTAACTACATGTTTGTGATTCTACATACTGCTTTCCAATCGAGCTCCCTCGGGCTGACTACAGGACAACTGACATTTAGCTGCACCGACTCAACACTCAGAACACAAAGACAAACAAACAGTCCGTATAGCAACATGGTCTATTAGAGTATGAACAACGAATGCCCCTCAACAACTGACTTGTGACGTGCCACGCTTCCTGCTTTATATTGGGACGATTTTTTATTACTATCGCTCTTGACACTGAAGATTAGATGACTCCGCTGCTGTAGGATGCAATTGTCACAAAGTAATGCAGGTTCAGTCCCGGATGCATAAACTCCCATAGGGCATACCTATAAGAAAATTATCTATGATTTATTAAATGACTGCAGAAACGTAGGAAGGTCTGTATTTGGTTGTATTGTGTTGTTGTTTCTGATTTTGTAAGAATATTCTTAGATTTTTTTATCGATGATAAGGGACTAATAAAAAAATCTAAGAATATTCTTAAGGGAAGTTCAAGTATTAGGGGGGGAGTCTTTGTTTCGCTTATTTTGGGAGTGGGAGTAGGGGAGAGATTATGATTACGTCATCGGTAGTTTTTACTTTTTTACACGAATGGCAACCCTCACATTATCTTTGCTAAAAAAACAATAAATTAATTGAAAAATCTTTACATAAGCATGGAGGGAGATAAGAGCTTTGCTTACTTTTGCTGACAAGCGGGATAGGGGGGCAAATAATTGTAATGAATCTGCTTACGTAATACGGCCCCTAATGGAATGGTGCACCCGCCTGAGCTAACGGTTTACACTGGCGAAGCACCAGTTGAAGATGAGCATATGAACATCAGGTTGAGTCATATTATCATCAGTCAAAAATTACCGTACCGTACCGTAGTCAACCCATCGTCACAAATTATCAGAAATTGATCACGTTGGTTTCCAGGGGGAATCCCGTGGAGGTCAACCTGATATAGTACATTGCCAGGGGGTTCACTAGTCCACATTTCTGACAATTTCCTTCGTCCCTATTCTACGCTACTCTACCGAATTTGATGACATTTCTATTGGACTTATATTTAAACATAAGTCCAAAATCGGTTGAGTAGTTGCCTATTAGTAGTTCTATCTAATCATCTATTCTACCTCAATTATTTAGTTCATGAACGGGTGCTGCTTGTAGGGACTGGTCTGATCTGATGACTGATTGATTTTGTTACTCAGCTATTATATTTATTTAATTTTGTGAATCTTGCTTTTTGCCAGTTTGTATTCACAGAAAATCTAAATATATGTATGCAATGCTGTAAACAATATTTATTTAAAAGAGCAACACGCAAGCTTTTTTCTATTTAAAAAAGAAGAAAATATGTTTATTTCATACACATCATAGTATCATAGTATAAAACAAAGTCGCTATCGCTGTCTGTCCGTCCCTATGTATGCTTAAATCTTTAAAACTACGCAACAGATTTTAAAGCGGTTTTTTTGGTAGATAGAGTGATTTAACAGGATGGTTTATATGTATAATAGTACCCGTGCGAAGCCGGGGCAAGTAGCTATTAAAATACACAATACAATTTGGATCATTCTTCTTGTGATGAGTTACTACTTTCCCAATGAATAAAAATTATATTACATATATGAAACAATTTAAGGAAACCCTAGTAAACGACTGACCTGACTTCATGCTATCTTATCATCCTTAACTGGAACCTTGCCAGTGTAACTTACTCGTGATGGACCAATCCATATTGAACTATTATAAAATAATTAAATGATTTACAATCAATTGTGAATAATTTATTGTCTATTGCATTTGTTGTTTTATACAAAAATTTACTTCCGTTTTTCCAAGGTTTGATCCTAAACAATAAATGACATCGAAGGAACTACATAAATAACAAACTATTGTAATATTTAGTTCCGTAAGACTAATTTTAGAAAAATCTACACTATTATTAGGAAAAAATAAAATTATGGTTACGATATTTCCAGTATGACATTAACAATTTTTCTCTCTTTAAAACCCTTGAATTTTGGAAAATTGAGCAATATTTGTACATAATGATCTACTGACAAGATTTCTTGCCTCATCTAAGTCAAGAAGCATAGACTGAACGATATTTATTACTGTTGAAATTTGAATTAAAATAAGAAATATAGAAATTATTCTTTTGATTACATTTTCCTGGTACCTATACAATACACGAGCAACCTACTGAAAAAAAAGTGTACTGTTTTTAGTAAATATTATATTAACTATTTATTTAAATGAGGAATCATCTCGTGTTACATATCAATTCAAAAAATTAGATATGTACAGAAGATCTTTTATCAATTTATCTCCATACCTTATCAGTATTGATAACAAATCTCCAGCTATACGTTATTAGTCATACAAAATCAGTAAATACAGTGAGTAGTTGAAAGAGTAAAACAAATATGTTTAAAACAATATATTTATTTATCACAATAGTTTTAAATTCTATGTTATCATTTTCTCAAGTTATAAATTTTGGAAAATGCCCACAAGTGGAAACCATGCAGTACTTCGATTTAGAGAGAGTGAGTGAAATATTAAAAAAAAAAACAAAGATAAATACAAACCTATTCCCTATAAAGTACTATGAGACCAGAATTATGCAAGAGTAATTCCATTATTTATGCGCATAATTAGTAAAAATCGCTGAATCTTACCACCAGCCAGCAACAGTTTTACCCGTGATTATGGCGGTTGAAACACTGCCGAATAATCGGGAACTCAATAAAAATAAAATTTGTAAGATCCCGTAATTTTTACTAATTATACGTATGTATAATTACCGGGTCAAATTTAAAATAGTATATAATTCCATTATGGTAAACAATTATAATTGACAAAAGTGGTTCTGGTACCATATTATGTTATAATACCTCCTGCATGTTTCAACTCTCCTAGTACTTCATGATATTTTCATCCATATTCTTTAGCACTGTCACGCTTTCAATGGTGTCGCATATGTTTTGCAGTTGAATTGCTTCGTTGCCATGTTAATCTATATATGCCTATATTGTGATATTAATTTATTTAAATACATATGTAAATAATACATTAGCTATAATTTACATACATCTCCACTAATGGTAGATTTGACATACCGTAAGTGTCTATAATACACTTACAAGACATAAAGATATATTGATTTAATTTGAGTTTAAATATTCGCATTAATTAATTATTTTATTATATATTGCCACAAACTTGATTATTAGAATTAATCCCTTTAAAAATTTGTTTTTGTTGAAATTTGTAATTATAGTTAAATATTTCGATACTGCATATTTCGATATTTCGATGCAACTATATATTGATTTGGTGGCAGTACATGTGCATGTACGTTTAATAATGAAAAAGCGTAAGTTTTAAAAAAAATATGCTTATAATGAGTGTTTATAAGCTCTTCTAAAAATATTCTATAAGCATCCGAAAGATTCTAGAGATTTCTACAACATTCTGTGAAAACTGTCAATTGTTATTTTATTCTAATATCATATTTCTACGATGGATTTGATTGTTAGTGTTTAGTTGCATCGATGGCAGTGTGTTTGTTATCTATAGTATTTTTTTATCATCCGTCAACACTTCCTGTCCGCCTGCACTAACTACATGCGGTGTCGAGGCGTCAGTGGAGGATGCTAAGATGCATATCAAGTCGTATCACCTAGCCCATAATAGTGAATGCACCTGAATTTGACTAAATTAAACGATGGCTTCAAAAGGGACTTTATGAAGGTCAATAATGATCTATGAGTACGTCATATATTCTTAGCTGTGATATCACTCCAGCTTCATTGTTAACAATCTCTTTCCCATTACGTTACTATAAGAGTCTGTATGTTGTAATGCCGATGTACATGAAAAAGATATGATTCGATTCGGAATTTGCCTACCAGAAAACAGGCCTTTTATCTAGTAAGATATGAACAATAGTTTGATCAATAAATATCTAAGGCAGGAGGCACCTAAGATGGTGCAAGAACATTGGAACTCGGCTGTATGACGCCTCTATTAAATGAGATGGCCAATTGAATGTGACTTATTTAAATCAAGGTTGTGATTACGTCATTATAAAAAGAAACAACGAAAGAATCCTTAGTAATTTGTATTGTTAGGAATTGATTATTCTTTTAGTCAAATTTGCAATTCATAATATATCCTTATATATTTTTTTGTATACATATATTATCATCAATTTTATCAAAAGCTCTCGCGTTAATTGTATAATAAGTTAGGTAAGCATATTTTTTTTAAAAACATGCAATACATATTTCGATATTAAATTAACTTATTCCGATTCTAAATTGTTGTTGTATTCCATACATATTGCTTTTGTGTTGCTTCCACATACATTCGCATATTGTTGTGATAAACAAATTCTTATACCAAGCAAAGATTCGAAAATAATGAAATTTTCTTTTTAATTTTTGTCATTGAAGACAAAAGCGGATTGAGTTTGAATGTAGATTTTTTACAGTAGCCTTTTTTATTGCAAAGGCGATTAAGTGCATATACTTCTCTCTGTAGCAGGTACTACTGTAGCAGGTAGAAATGTATGCACTGTCTGGTATCAGGTTTAGATCCGTTAAAACTTTGGAAAAATAATTAAGACGATTTACGTAATCATTTTTTTAATCCCTAATACATAAATAAATTTATGAACATTACGATAATTTTGTTCCCGTTAATTTTTATTGGACCCCTCTCTTGTGACTTTTTTAATGAATGGAGTAAATTGTTAGAGCATATCTACTATTTCTCATTACTAATAATCCCTCCCCCACTCTTGTTTTTCTTTTTATGTACTTACTACTTGTACTTAAGATACTTAAAAAATATCTGACTTCGATATTTTTGCTCTGACTTGGAATCGATACCCTGAAGGCGTGACGTAAATCATTACAAATTACAATGGTATAGCGATCTTAAAATGTTCTTTTTGATATTACAGTTCCAAGGTTTATGGTATGAAATCGAAAGATTCCCCCCATGGGGCGAAATACGAGGTGAATGCGCACACAAAAGAATACAAGCTTGTGGCAGAAAAGTGGAAATAGAGAACGACTTCGTTAAATATGGTATACAGTTCACATTTCGTGTGAACAGTACGTACGCCCCCGGAGACGAGGCTGTTTTTGTAATTGAAAAAAGTTATGTTGGTAAGTATTTTTATTTATAAAAATTAAATGGCAAACATACTGACGGCGTCCCTGCCAACATAGTAAATAGAATTTTATTAAATCTATAGTCTATACATACAGACAACTAAATCTTATGAAATTAGAATAAACCATTTTTATCTGTACGTTCTATACAAATTTTAACTAAAAATAAATTCATAATAGTAATATATTTTGTATTTGACACACTCACGGTTTAGGACTCTGTTTACTTCCGGATACGATTTCTAGCATGGTGCACACATTTGTATTCATGAGTATGATTATTGGTATCGGTCTGGGTATTTTCTATGTATATTATGTATTTATAAAATAAAACAATCTAAGTATTTATATTAATTGTCTAGTACACATAGTTTTGCTTACCGTGGGAGTAGATAAAGCTGTGTTAATTGTCCATGGTTACTTATTTACAGTTTTGTATTAAATTTCAGATCCCTCCTCCATACCCATATCGGTAATAACAACGGATTACGAAAACTATGCAGTAATCTACGGTTGCGAGTACAATGAAGAATGGAACCTAATGTTTAGTGAGTAGAAAATGATTTCTAGTTTTTTAGATAGAGACCGTCGCGTAAGCATCTCTTTGTAGTTTCGAATATATTGTAATACTTATAATATTGCGCTGGATTCAGAAAATCAAAAATATTAAAATATCTTAAATACAGTTTTAGGTTGGGTATTATCAAAAACGCCGACCCTATCGCCGGAACTAACCGAAGAAGCGAGAAATCAGCTGATCTCTATACCGTTTGCGAATGCCGCTTACCTGGAGAAGGTTCACCACGGACAGAAAGACTGTGCACACCTCTGGGTTGCTCATATAGAGAATGCAGCTATTATCGATACTGACGAAGCAGATAATGATTGATGGAATATTAAATATTATAAAATATAATAGTGTCATTGGAAATCACAATACTGTAGCAACATGATCACTACTCGACTATGCAATTATAATTATTAAAATAAAACGGTGCACATTGCACTGTTTTATTTTCAAAACTTTAAATTTCATATAAAAAAAAAGATAATGAATGCACTATAGGTAATGTAAATAATTAATATTACTAAGAAACACATGTAAATGTAGAGATAAGGTTATCGATTAAATTTGATATTAATATAAATAGCAAATGGTATATTTCGTTTACGTCAATGACATTTTATAATTTCTGTGATTTATTTTTCACTACCTATCACCATATTTTATCAAATGTGGTGATAGGTAGCGGTGCTATTTTAGGTGCTATTTTGCGGAAGTCCATTTCATTACTTAATGGATTTATATTTTCACAGTTTGTCGCCAAAGAGTTAACACTAGGCTTTGAAGCTATATCCAAACTCTATTCAATGCCTGATAATGCCTCGTTCAGAGGCTAAACACGTGTCGCAATATGGGTGTATACTCAGTAACGTTCAGAAATTTTATCACCAACAGAGAAGATTGTAACGTTTCCAATAGCGGTGGTCAGGTTTCCGTTCATAATATTCGCAGTCTCGTACATGCTAATAGTAGCGGAATTAAATAAAGTAATATAAATTCATTAAGTAATGGATAACTTATCAAAAGTACACTAAAATCGTTAAGTAAATATGAAATAAAAAGCGTCAAATTCAACAATTATATATAAATATATTCAACATACAAGAAATTAAAAGGAATTTTATATAGGTACAGGATAATTAAAAGTAGTCGGTTTATTTTCGAAGTCATCATAGTATTTAGGAGAACAATTTGAAATGTCGTCTTTAACTATGTCCTTGAGGGTCAATCCAATTTTCGATAAAGGTTTTACTGCTAACTCCAGAGATACATCATTCAGTATCGGATTCCTTGAGAGAATCCAAACGTAAACTGTAAAAAATCAAATCGGGCTATTAATATCCTAATAATAATAAGCTTCTACTAATTTTCTACTACTTTAGAAAGACTTGTGCCTTTATGTCTAGTCTAATAGATATATGTGTGTATTATATATTTGATGTAGAAATATAAATAATCTTTATTTGAATAAACTTAATGTAATCACTTTTAAATAGTCATATTTTTTAGTCTGCCACTAATTCGGAAATCATCTACTACAAGATAATAAGTGATAAATATGTGCTTTATTCTTTGAAATAATTGTTGTTCTAAGTAAATACACATTAAAAAAGGAGGATCCATGCAAACTTCATTATAGCAACCGCTACTCACGCATTCTTTGTGGAATTAGATAATATTGTCAGCGCTATGTATTATAAATTCTTCAATTTTATAATAAGTTTGTTTACAAAGAGAGTGTTTTATATGACATTAGAATCTTCTTCCTATTTATATAAAACATAAGTCGAAAATTATTCTAAACTTTAATATCAGAACGTATCCTAAACAAAGAAACATTACAATTGAATGCGATATAATTTATATATCCACCATAAAGTGTCCGTTTCGATGCATTAATACCAATTTTATGAATTGGATAAACTAAGACATCAACCCACAAATTACTTTTAGTGAAAGCGTTAGGCAATTTTATTACTTAATGCTATCGTGAATCGCAAGTTAAGACCATTTTTAGTTTCATTATTGTCAGCGAATGCATGATTTTCAGTAGTACCAAATTTGAGTAGCAATCGAAGCAAGCAATTGCTTGCATATGTTAATTTTGGATACTTTGACCCCCTATGTGATTCATTTAGAAGAGTTAGAATTCTTTTTTTTTTGAGTCTATGCAATGTCTTCGTTTTTTATATCATTACAGATATATATATTCAATTTTTGGTTTCGTTCTCATAAGGGCATTACAAAGTCAAAAGTGTGAATTGCACTTTGAACATTATTAAAATAACTAGTGTGAATAATCGAAGTTTTTCTTAATACTCCATGTTTCCTGCTAGTTGTATATTATAAGAAAACGATTTACTTACTATAATGTTTGTTGATCAACGGACTGTACTGACAAGTGTAAACGGTCGCATAGTAATTGTAGTTAGTAGCCAACACACGAAATGGGTATATTCTAACTTTCACTGTAATAAAGAAAGAGAGAAGATGTAGGTGACATTTTATTATAATTATAGACAAATATTTTATTTACAATGTACATTTAAGAAATAACCTGACCTCAGACTTTGTGATTCTACAAATTTCAAATTCTTGCAAGCTTTCTTAACTGTTAAAATTATATAAAAATATAGATAAAAAAACTTACATCTTCTCGGTGCATCGTTAAAAGTGAACTTAATATTCATATTAGCTGCGTCTTCAATCCTGGTAGGTATATTTATCTTCGCTATGCTGTACCTGTGGAAAAGGCCTCTGTCTACCCTCGATTGGTTCAAATATATTCCGGAAGGTTTCGTGTCCAGTGTTAATTGAGAGCAATTATTTCTCATTTGACCATCACTGGAATAATGGTAGGCTTGGTACCATTTTCCATAGAACTGAAAATTAATATGTATATATATATACTAATATTATAACTAAGAATTATTGGACATGTATGTTTATAATAAATTCAATATCTACTAGAGAGAGTTCAAAATGTCGTTCACCCATATAGCTACATCATCAGCGATTAACATATGCATATTTCACCTAAAAATTGCCGCGAATAACTATTTGTCTGTCATGAAATATAAAAAAAAACAAAATATATTATTATATTGAAATTTACGTCTGTGGTCGTTTAATTCAGTAGAGAAACCTTTATAACAAAAATAAATAAAACGTGGTAAGAAACCGTAATTTTTCCTATTCTACGTATAAAAAAAACAAATATTGACATAGATTTATTAATTCAAAGAAATGCCAAAAAAACTATAAAGGCAAATAATTCTACTAATAAATTTTTTACACGTTTTAAGCAGTCTTATCTATACATTATGTATGTGTTTGACAAACAGTCTTTAAGTATTTCTATCACTTGTTTAGTACCCATAACACAAGCTCTACTTAGTATGTTACTGAATGGCGCTATGTGAATTGTCCAGGGTTGTTGTTATTATTATTATTATATTTATAATTGTATATAAATTCTAAACCAATTTTAAATATCTTTTATCTAATATTGAGTAAAATTAGGTGTTTATATAAAAATATTAAAAAAATGAGATCATGAGCGAATACGGAGCTAATTTAATTAATTAGATCCGTCTTCGCTCATGATATTGTACAGATCTCATTTTTTTTATATTTTTATATAGGATATATAAGATATTTATCTATGTAGAGAGATTTATTGTAGTATTTATCTAAATAAGAAAAAAATATCCGATGGGTTCAAGTAACATTACATCGAAAATACATTAACAAACTCATACATTTTAAAAATTATTAATAAAATAAACAGACTTACATCGGCCAGTTTGAAGTCATTCGGCACGTCCACATTTTCAGGACATTTTCCAGGTAACGTAAAATAGCCAGATGCACTATACACAAATAAGGAAAAACATAATAGTTTCAACATTATTACACAGCTATATCTTACAGTAGTTGGCTTCCAAATACATAATAATTAAGACAACAACAATATAAAGACCCTAGGTCATCCACTGATAACCTGACATCCTATTTATAAACAATAACAATGTGTTCTTAGAATAATTGATTGATATGAAAATATTATATGTATCTTGGGCACGGTAGTGTTTAATCCAAATTTAAAATAACAAAAAAATAGTGCCTTGTACATATTTTACTACTGTAGTCCCGCAGCATTGTCCGCCCGAAATAGCCAATGTTACTCATATATAATATGGCTAATTACAAGCGAGAATTTACAAAATATGTATTTGAGTTTATCCATTACTAACAAATATCCCAAAATGAAATCTTTCCTTTTCTAACATCAGTATAGATTACTATTATAATATATAGAATATATAGTTTATAATGAAAAAATATACCTATAAGTATAATGTATAAAATAATTGTTACTGTATAAAGAAGAATTTGCAAATAAAAGATACGAATAGTATAAAGAAAGAAATATTCTCACTCTTATTAATTATATTTTGACGACCCCGATGGTCTAGAGGTTTAGCATACTGCCTTACCTCCGATGACTGCGGCTTCAATTCCTCGCACGGTACAAGCATTTCCATTCATTACTATGATTGTTTATGTCGGTCTGAGTGTTTCCTATGTGTATTATGTACGTATTTATAAAATAAAAATGTATCGATGTATTTATAACAGTTGTCCACCAGTTCATTTTAGCTTGGGACTAGATTTAGATGGCGCTGTCTAAATTGTCCTAGGATATAATTTATATTATTTTATAATATAGCTGATTTAGTTAAGAAAACTCCGGAACCACTGCACCGATTTGAGGAAATTTTTCACAGTTTCAAAGTTACAGAGTTATTTATTCCAGGGATGTACTGCAATGCAATAACTTTCAAAATAATACATAATTCATAGAGCATAATGCTTAACCATATGTATTACAAAGTCACAAAGTTATCACTAGCCAGGCGCATTACTAATCAAAGTTATTATTATACTCCCAATATTTTTTAATTTCCTGTATCTGTAACGTATGTAAAGTATAACATAACATGTTTCTAAATAATTTATAATTATTGCTAATTCGTGTTAACTTTTACTTTCGTAGAACTGTTTATGTACCGAGAAATGTCGTGTTGACAACGGAATCTTGGGTCAAATTCTGTGACCTATGAAATAAAGACTTGTTCATAAACATAATAATTATTGAATATTTATGAATAGAATAGAATAGAAAATTCATTATTCAAATAAATTTAAATTCAAGTACTTTTGAATAGTTATATTTATATCTTTTTTTAAACTACCGCTCATTTACAAGGAGGACTTGAAAGAAACATGCGTGTTGCGCTTTTAAATAATATTATAACTTTACATTCTTAAGTTGAAATGTTGAAACCAATATAAACAGTTGTGATCGTCCAGAGCAGAGGTCGAAATTCTACAATACCGATATAGAAACTCATTATTTTTATTTTATCTCTTTCTTTAGTGTTTCAGCCAGTATTTACAATAGAATAAAGTTAATTAGGATTTAAAAGCCGATTTAAATTATTTAGGATTGATAAATCTTTGTCATATAATGTATATAATACGAAGTTGAGTCATCTGGTTTGCAATAAAAAATAACTAAAATAACTTATCCAGTAAATCAAGTTTTTAAATAAGTTATAACGAATAATAAAAAAATATAACCTTGCGCATTCAATGAATGCAAATAAGACAATTTGTACGTATATAACTATATCTAAAACTAACAAGAGGATGCTCTATATCGTTTGAACAATTTCCACTGCAATGCAATACGCCTTTACAAAAGATACATATTGGATAATTATCGCGTGGGACACGTCTCTGTACCATTTGACATCGACAATCCGCACCGAGTACTTGTTCTAACATGTTCATATTATTGCTGTGCAGTTGTTTTGCTGGAAGCCTTGCAGCAGAGTTTACATTGCCAGGGGAATGCCCTAATGTCAAATTACAAGAAAATTTAGACCACACTAAGGTAAGAATATCATTATACATCTTTTAATAGCAAAATAGCAAAATGACGGTATACGCTGATATTATAAGATAATTCCATGTTAAAAATTTTGAGGTACTAAAATATCATAATCAGAATTAATGTCATGCCTAATGACGACCATGAAATTGAAACCATGAAATTTCACTACCATATATCATGAAATTTAAGAGAAATCATGCGTTGCCATTTGTAGGGAGGATGGTGTTATGGGGGTATGTAATGTCACTGTGATATCTGACCGAAATATACATACAAGATATAGACAAGTGGCGAGGTAACAAATTGACTTGGTATGGCCATATCATGTGGACCGAGGACCATCCCTTAAAGAAAATGACATGAACGTGAATGGATAGAATGGGAGAGGAAGACTAAAAAAACGATGGATGGACTATGTGAAAGATGATATGTATAAAAGGAGAATATGCTCAAATATGACGATCGATAGGGTTAAATTGAAGAGGATAACACTGACTGACGTGCCGATCCCAAAGAATGGGATAATGGCAAGACAGTGATGATATCTGGTCAATGTATGAATCAAGCTAATTAGCGGGTAAATAGGTAAAAAATTGGTACACATGCAAACGACTCCACTTAAAGGCTGCTACGATACCGCTTACTTTAAATATTATACGATACTATCTACTTTAAATATTCTTGTATCGCTTAGTTTTCAGGAGTGTGGTACAACGTTGCGAGTTATGCCAGCGATGGGAGAAGCACCTACGATTGTGCCACCCTTGACTTCCAAGAGGATAACTTAGGATATACCTTGAGAGAGACCTATGTGACCGATGACGCTTCGAACAGAACTCAGAAATCTTACTTTGCAAGAGTCGATCCTACCTTTGATGCAGGCAATAAAGCGCAATTCATTATTAGCCATGAAAATGAAGGTAATTTTTTTTTTTCAATTATTGGTTTTTATAACCAATAGCAGTGTGTTGGAATGATATGCATGAATCCCAATAACATCATATATGCTATTCATAATGTAGTTTAGTCTTTAGGATATAGTCTTTTTTTATTATTGGATAATATTAGAATCACATGCTCTCATTCATCAGGAATAACCACGATGGTTTCCAAAGAATACCTTAGTACTCCACTTGTGGAGGTCGACCTAGCTTATTCATTGCTATGTCAATGGGGTTACCAATTCGCATTATTAAGAATCCCCATTATGGGATACGATTGTCTTGAAGTATTATTTTATTTTTAAAGATTAGTAGGGCGAGTAACACAAATTAAATATTGTATACTACGCACAGCACTGCACGAACCGTGTCATCCCTCTTTACATGTATATTTCGTCAGTTCACTATTTAATATATTATACATCGCAAAACACCTTTCTGATCTATATGCAATGGTTACCACTTTCTATCAGCATTATCATCAGATTTTGTACCTATATATCAAAAACATGTCTTATTAAGTATCATCCGAACACAATTATCTATGACTCAGATACACAATCTACGTAAATAGGTCTAATTATATTTTATAATTCTCTAGGTATAATAGAGTATTAGTAGATAGTAATATTGATATTGATAAGCAGAGCTAATACTTATACATTTTTTAATTATATTTACAGATCAAGTACTTCAATTTCCTTTCTTCATATTGTCTACGGATTATGATAATTACGCCATAGCTTATACTTGTAAAACTTTAAAAAAGAAGCAACGGACACATTATGGTAAGGCTATTAAAATAATAAGTACATATAAATTTGAAAATCGAATTAAAATTTTTAATATACACCAAATTAATATTTTTTTAGTATTCAAGTGAGTTGTTGTAATAGTAACCTTACACTCAAACTTATATGGTGCAAAACAAATGTCTTTTGATTAACGTATTCTATACATGCTTTCACAGCACCGTCTAAAAGCCAAAAATCTTCGATTTAAAAGCATAAAGTTTTGTATAAGGTTTGTAAACAAAGTAATAATATTTAATGGATACCAATCATTAATAAATTAAAAAAAAAATTGGTTAAATTATAATATCGTTAGAACCTTATTTTTTATGGGAGTAAGAACTAAATGATTCGGTATACGTAACCTATTATACCTATATCTAAAACCGAAACAGTTGATTTAAAATGCAAAATCAATCCCTTATTCAGGTACTTGAAAAAAAATTGTATAGCTGTGTCTCCAGAATACTATCATTAACCGGCTCTATATACGTATGATATGCTATTCTTCAATATGCAATCAAAGACTAAGCATTATTTCTTATAAAGTTTTGATTGTTTATAAAACATAAACCCATAATTTTTATTGTAAATGTGAAATTGATTATTTTCGCTTTTAGAGTTGATGTTCGTGTAGAGCCGAGACTACTAAAGTAGATAACCATCTTCTACCACAGTTTTAATTCAATTCCATATACTTTATACATATAATATGTAATTTCTAAACCTACAACCATTTTTAAATTTTATATTTCTTGCCGCTTCCGCCATGCACTTTACACGTGTTTCGGACATAAGATAACCTACCTGTTTAATAAAAACTCGTTAATAATTATCATATAAATACAATTTCACGTCAGAACAGCTATCTACTCTATTTTTAGATAAATTCCAATACACACATAGCTAATAACTCACTTGTAATTTTGCTAGGAATTTAATGACAGGCGTAACGTGAAGTAATCTTCAGATTGTACATTTTGCATTTATTTTATTTCTAAACTAGCGACTCCTGTAATCATATATCAATATCAACCGACACAGGACTCGAACTTGCAATCTTAGGATATATCACCTTTATATAATCCTTTCGAAAATGTTTTTTCAGTGTTCACATGGGTATTATCCAGAAACAAAGAAGCATTGCATGGAGATACGCTCAAAAAGGTCGAGAGTTCATTATCAAAGTATTCGGAATTGGCTGAAAACCGAAAATCATTTGTGATGAAGGACTTCTCTGAAAGTAGCTGTGCTTTTACCAATGAATACAAGAGTAATTTCTTCACTAGTAATTTTTGGTGAACAATAAAATATTTTGAGAAATTAATAGTTTTACTGAATGATATTTGTCTCAACATATAAACTTTATTATGTTACCTAAACTACAACCTTATGGTTCATTTTATTTGCAGTGCAACGCACAAGTGCTATGTAATCGTCAAATGATGATATTAGTGGAGATTTATATATATAAATACAGGCGTTGTTATAACGAAGGTCTAGGAAGTTATTCCTCTGTGCCTACACTGTAATTTCCCTGTCACAGTTCGGCCTACTACCAAAAATAAGCCGCTTGATGGTTGAATTAATGGAAGCATTAGTACTCACGCAGACGACTTTACAAAGTCTATCTCTGATAATTTCATGTAAATAGTGCACAAGGTTGACTATAGATTCAAATAAAACCTTAAAAACAGCGACAAGAGTACGTTTACCGGCAATATTAAAAACAAACTTGAGTGTAGGCATTCAATAACAATTTCCTCGTGGAATTGTCGTAACATATATTTTACTTCCTAGCACACACGTCTCTTACTTCCATACTCTCATATACTCACTCATCTACACACACTAACACCCACCCACCCACACACACACACATATACATATACACACACATTTACACAAACTCGTGGACAGGCTTACCACTCTCACTCATATTCTGCCATTCTCCTTCCCCTATAATGTACTTACAAACCTATTATTATATTAATTACCTATAATTTTTTATTAATTCTAAACACTATGATTATAATTTATTTGGTTTAGTATAAGCATTGTAATTTATTTAAAGTATATCACTTGTTTTTCGGTTGGAGGGCCTGGTGATCTGTATTACAGGTTGTAACCTATTTCAGACACCAGCTTTGACAACAACAAACACAACAATTGATTGTAATGGTAAATCTATACAATGTATTATCTAAAATACTACATGTATCTGTTCCCAGTGTGACAATGTTTGTGAGAAGAAATAAATAAAATATTATTATTATTATTAATGGGCCAACTGACCTATTTTTATACTCATCAACCAACGTTAGTGCCCCTCCAGCGTAAACCGTTAACTCAGGGTGGATACTACTACATTATTATCTAATAAAAAATGTGTAGGTAGGGACTACTGTAAGAACGGTGTACTGTGTAACTTTTTTATGTATGGTAATGGTGTAGTTCACCCGCCTGCACTGACGGTTTAAGCTGGCGGAGCACCAGTGGATGATGATAGGAGAACATGTGCTTAGGTCAGTTAGCACAGCATAGCACAGATAGTACACATTCACTTTTACAGGAATTTATGTTGTAGAAATATGTAGTAAAAGGCTGTAGCAGCACACAAGATAATGTCTGCCATTACAGTATAGTGACATATATAATTTTGTTTTATAGTTTTGATTAAAGAATACAAAAAGTTTATTTTTTGTATAGAAAGTCTTTTAATATATATTAATATCAAAATAGTTTCTCAACAATTCATTAACATGGTTTCCAGGGGAACCAGGAAGTATATTGCTAGCATTGGGGTCATCAGTCCACATTATTAACAATCCCATTCCCCCCTGTGAACAAACAGTTGGAAGCGACTGGTGAGAACTATCAGATTTAAATCAGCTAGAGCTCATGATGAATGAATGATATAAAAACAATATACATACGTCCCAATTGTTTTTATTATGTAACTGGAATGGCAAGTAATTTGCCGGCCAACGGTAGTAAATGGCAACTATCAACAATATATAATACATCTCTACGTTGCCATTCTCGAGGACTAAGATATTATCATATGTCATATGCCATATCCTGTAATTTCACTGTTATATCTTTTTTTTTTATACTACTATGGTGGCAAACAAACATACGGCCCATCTGATGGTAAATGGTTACCGTAGCCTATGGACGCTTGAAACACCAGGGTGTCACGTGCGCATTGCTGACGCTATCATATCTCCGCCATCACACAGCTTACAAAGAACTTGCTTTGCGGCTGACTGAAATGGATGAAGCAGTTTTGAGATAGGTAGGTTAAACAAAGTCTACATCTGGTAAATATGGAAATTAACCACAGAGTTTTAATTGTTAGAGTCGAGTGAGAGAGCTCTTCTAATCGTTAAAATTTTTATCTATTTGAGCAGTTCCAACTTTCTTTACTTACTCTGTAATGCACTGAAGGTTAGAATTTCTTAAGAAAGAAATACTGACAATAGAGTGAACAAATTATTTTATGATAGACACCAAATATTACGAAATAGGTATTTAGTTATAGTTGCTTAAATATCAAATTTCCCTCTCAATCCACCCTGATGCTCAAAATCATCGTGGTGATTGGATTGACATTGTAACTATATCTGTATTCAGTATTTCGCATTACAACGCAGGTTAAACTATAAATTGTTCAACTTAACATTAGTAAAATATAACTTTTTTAAGAGAAAGAATACAGACTATAAGAATACAGAATACTTATATTTGAGACAAAGACTGAAGTATCTTTTTTTAGGAAATTGGAATTCCATAATAACTGAGTGCCTACCAGGTTGTAAGCAATGAGCGTTGCCTATACTTATATACATGAACAGCAACTATGGAGATTACGTCATGTAAGAACCGCGATACCACTCATGAGGACTAAGATGTCATGCCTCTTATCCTGTAATTTCACATTTACCAAAACATTTCTCCTATGATAGACAGAGAGAGACATAAAATAATCAGTGAATTGATTATTTTTCATATTTAAATAAGACAGGATATATATCTGCTAAAAATGTATTTAATCCAATAAATAATATTATCCAAAAAAAAACTACTTAAAACATTTTATCACAAACCATTTATGTAATAAACTTGAAATTAAGTTGACATTTGTTTAATATTATAATGAACTATCTTGTTATGCAACTAAAACTATAACAGCTCTAACTCTAAATGGAATCGAGACAAAACTAACCAATGAATTAGTTCGATTAAATTTATTATGTCTGATGTTATTTTCAATTGAGATTCTGCAAATATTTTAAAAATTAATAACTACGCACACCATCGACTTCTCATCAATGTAGAAGAAATACAAAGGAAATTTACAAATTTGAATGTAGAAATAAGCATGACTATAAAGTACCTAAATATCTACGATAGATCTAATCTAAATAATAAGAGTAATTGATGAAAGTTGATCGTGTACATTCTACAATTAATATCATTATTATCGATCACACATTACACTTTAATTATTTGTGGCTACCCATAAATTACTTGACAAAATATAACATTGTACGACAAGGTGTGAGAAGTGGGAAATTTAGGAACTTTTACAAATTCAGTAACGTCACCTTGAGTCTTAATGCGGAAAATAAATTCCAACATACGCTACATCAAATTTGATCAAATATAGATACTACACGTAATTTAAACTATTAACGAAATATTTTAATGATATTTATAAAGTTGCATAATATGGACACTACTGAGTATTATGTAATTTATGGATATCCCTTTTTTAGTAATATTAAAACAGATAACTAATACAACAGATCCTATTAGCGCTATTCGACAGAAACATTCTTAGTCTAATAATAACATAATTCTAATTTATTGTGCTTTGATTAAAACACGACTTTGGTTAGTAAACAGGTAAACAGTTATTTCTTAATCACAAATTATTGTAGGAATGGAGTTACTATTTTTTAATATTTGTAATATGGTAAGTATTCGTCATTAATAATATAATATTTATGTAGGATAATTAGCTCAATTAGTGACATGTTGGAATAAACCAACCATGAAATTTATAATTCGTAATTTGTCAACTCTAACCTAAAATATTATCAGCAAATTTAATTATTGTTTGTTTGTTTGTAGCTCTGTCACTGCGCTGGAACTTGTGAACTTGCAAGCTTCATCTGAGAAGTCGGTTTGGACAAGTTTAGAGGCATCAATCTCCTTAGCGTGCTCCTTCAGGAAGTTGTCAACGGCGGTCTTCGCGTCGCCTTCCAATTTCTTAGCTCTGGACAGGACCCATACGGAATCTGCAAACAGAACCATCATGGTACATTCTGAATAAATTACCTGTGGTATACGGTATTATGTAGCTTTACGGCTATTAATAATCCTTAACAGCCAATCATATTGTCTCCGTTGATGCCAGATTAGTGGTTTTCACCACACACCACAAATTTGGATGGAATATATAAGAATATATGAAATTTTTGGAGGGAGAAAAAACTAGGCCAAGTGGTCTAAAAAATAGATTGTCTGGATACACAAAAACTATAGACGTATTATGGGGAGGGGGGGGGGGGATTTTTCTTCAAGTTTGGAGAATTTTGTACTAAATTTGGAGAACACTAGATAATCATCTAGCAATACTGTTCGTCTTTAATGTCTAAAGAATTACTTCACTCCTAAGTTTCTTTTTCCTCACATGAGTTACTATTTTGAGAAAATCGTATGTGACTTACCGTTATGTGCTTTGCTCTTCTCGTCGTATTTACAAGTATATGCAATCGCATAATGTTGGTAGTCTGTGGCGATTATGTTGAGAGGGGATTCCCTGTTGACAGCTACAACAAAAATGCACATTAAAAATCCATTTAAAAATATATTTTTTTTCTATATACATTTTTATAATGTAAACAGATCTGTCTTCCTTATATTATGATTGTAAACAAACAACAAAGTTCAATAATAAATTACAATCTGTTTCATATTTATTTCTTTCTATCAAACTCTATTCGCAGGTACAATTGGAATATCTTTAAAAAAACTTCAAAAGCATTTGCTTGGTCCTCTTCTTTATTTCTGCTTGTTTATGTAACGTATGTTTCCGTTGGTGAATCAGATATGGTAGTGAAATTGTAGGGTATGGAGGCAGTAGAACATGTTAGTATCTTAGCATATGCATAGCCTGTGAGGCGTAACAAGCTGACCATATTGGTGTTCATGATGCTATTCATAAATAGCTATGTTTCGTTTCGTAAATGAGATATAGCAGTGAAATTGTAGGGTATGGAAGCAGCAAGACATCTTAGTTCTCTGGAATGGCAATGTATGTTATATCAGGAGCGTTACATGCTGGTCTGATGTCCATGTTGCTGTTCATGTATATAGGCAACTATAGTTAAATACTATCAAGTAGGGCGTCAACATCCTTATCATTTCAAATGCAGAAGATACAAGGTGAAAAATATATGGTTTTACTATTATCTTGTTACATTCCACTGTATAACCAAAAGGAACAATTACAGGTAAAGGAGAATTTATATATAATATAAGTATTATATAACAAAGATGTATATCTAGTGCATACAGATTGTCTGCTTTATTAGACGGCCTCGGTGGTCTAAAAGTTTAGCACACCGCTTTACTTTCGATGGTCGCGCGTTCGATTCCTCGCACAGTACAAACATCTGTATTCATGAGTGTGAATGTATAGTATCTATGTTAATAGTTCTGTAAAAAAATGTATAAAACTATTTCTGTATAGTTATCTAACCATAATATAAGTCTGCTTAGCTTGTGTCTAGATGGCGCTGTGTGAATTGTTCAATGTCATTATTATAAAATAATATAAGGATTAATTAATAATTATCATGGATGAAATAATTTAATTATATCAAGATTTATCAGTGCTTCTGTATCTCTAAATGATGATTCTTTTTCGTATACTTTCAACATATCGCAAACATATACATATATCCATTATATTATGTTATTAACTCTACCTATATGTAATAAAATTGTAACTGATCTTTGTCTGTATATGAAAGATATATGATAAAATATTATTATAAGTGCACTTTAACAGCATAATAGAATTCAAAACAATGATTGTTAGAATTTTTGTCTGTCTATGTTTGTGCCTGCGAATCTGAGAAAACAATTACTAGAAAATTATGAAATTGGTTTTAATAGGTTTTCATTATTTATTGTAATAAACTTTACTTAAAATAATGTTTCTTTTACTGTAATAGGTTCACACAGAAAAAAATATCCGGGAACGAAGTCGCGGGCTGAGCTAGTTCATTCAACAAAAACCTGTTGTGGAATGTATTTATGTGTAAGCATGTCGCTTTAAAGCGGATATTATTTTATTGGCTTTTAAATTATCAGTACAAGAATTACATGAAGAATTATAGAAAAATGTTGAAAATTTACTAATCTTTTAAAATTGAAAAAGTATAAATATAACGTCAATATGAAAAGAATATTAATTAACATTTAATGGTTTGGTTTCTTATATTTTACATTTTACAATTATTTGTCCGAAAAAAAAATTATAGTTAATTGGTATTATATTTCATGACGCTTGGTCGTGCTATAAAAGTTTACCAAATAGAGATTGTAAAAAATCTACGTGGATACCTCATTCTCAGCTATTTTAGCCGCCAAGCAGCTTGCTATATAATGTTTATTTTGGTTGTAAGTGCAGTTTAAAGTCCGGCCACACAGAGTTTATGTTTCTTACAGTTCGGGTTCGACCAATCACCTGTTTGTTTTTGTAGTGAAGGGACCAAATAACAGCGTAATTTGTTGTGGTTTGAATTTTAAAATCTATTTTATATTTGTTAAGCAGATAATAGTTAATATTTTTTTACCTAGTTAATTAAATTTTTCATGTTATCACTCGTTAATACGGCAAATAATAGATATTTAAAATTTTGCCGTAAATTGTACGTTAGTTCAAAGTTACATTCGTTCCCGATCTGTAACGCAAACTTTGAGCGACCGTACTGTAGTCAGAAATTACAGGATGATAGGCATTACTTAGTCTTATAGAAAGTTAATGGTAAATTATGCATAGCCATGGTATAACGGGTATCACATGTTAACATGATGCTGTTCATATATATAGGCGACAGTTACAGCTTACCTGCAGTCAACATTACAGTAGTCAAAAAAAATTACCATCAGATTGACCATCAGCATGTTTACCATTCCAAATTACATGAAAATAAATTCTGGTCTCATTTTCTCTATTAGCACAGGCGGCTGAAGCCGGCCCGCTATACAATAGTATACTATGTCATTACTAATTAGATAACTACTCGTAACACATATTATTAATCTTACCTCCATAAGTTAAAGTTACTAATAGCTTAGCACTCTTGTTCGCATCTTCAGCAAATTTGGCGATGCCCTCTACGTATTTCTGCACGCCATCTACCACGTGACTATTCTTCACTTTCACCACTTCTCCATCCAATTTGTATTCCGCTTGTCCGCACTTGCCATTCTTCTCCGCATCGTTGGGCGTCTTAGAAATCTCGTACCATACTCCTTGATACTGTATAAAAAGTTTTAATCGTTAGTACAATTAGCATGTCAAAGGTTTTAATTATTTTATCGATTTCAGCGGATTTTATATCACATATTAAAATATTATCTTTTTCTGTAGGTGCTATCTCCTATCGGAGGTTGGCGGTCTTTATTTTGTCCACGGCGGTTCTGAAAAGGGACTCAGTGTTTATACTAAAATACTGCCTGAGGTTTTTCATTCCGCATTATGTAACCCAGGTACAGCAATTTACGGCATTTCATGGTGTTTACATATTAAATAAGGACATATTTGTACTAATATAATAAATACGAAATTGTATATGTCTGTCTGTCGTGTTCTTTTTACACGACAGAATCTCAAAGATGACTAAGTTTTTTTGTTTCTAGAATTGGAAAGACAAAACCACGAAGGCCTATCTGATGGTAAGTTGTAACCGTCGCCTATATAGATGAATTGTCTGTCTGTATGTTTATTTGTTACTCTTTCATGATTAAATAGCTGAACTGATCTTATTGAATTTTTACGTAAATTGCATCACAAGAATGACAATCATGTCTTAAAAAAGAATCTGTAGTTGTGGACGAAGTAGCGAGTATACGGCTAGTTTTGTATAAATGCATATTATAATGTTCTTTCTATATATCATGATAGAATAATGCACTAACAGTATGACCTAAGATCATCAGAGAAAAATTAGCTGAGAATTCGAGATAACTAAATTTAGAAGTCATGACAATTGGGCCGTTGTAGCAAATTCTCCAGGATTAACCATTATTCGCCATTGCATTCTAAGGAAACCGCAAGGTCCACCTGCCATGGTAAATCGTTAGTCCCCTTTACTACTCCCCTCCAATCTATGGTACCTGCGTATCAATTAAATTAGACTGTCCATACGGAACAATTGGTTTGAATGTGACGACCTTCACGATAAATTAGATTTATCGGTGAATCACTTGACGATGCAGCGATACGGTTAAAACTATTGTGCACACAACCGGAACATTGATTGTTAAGGTATTAGAGTAATTGCCCCTATTGTGGTATTTTACTGAGGTACACTTTGTACAAAGTCGTCATCGTATGTACCCCTATCAGAACGAATTCTAACACCAATTAGCTTGTTTCGTAAGCTGAATAGAAAATACCTAATTCAAATAAACTTCATTTAAGTACTTTTGAATAGTCATAGTTTTTTTTAATCTACCGCTCATTTGGAAAGCTGTCTTATCACAAGAACCACGAATTACTCGCGTCTTGCTCTTTAATTATTCAAATTTAATATTTAAATATTCCTTACAACTTTACATTTTAAGCCAAAATGTACAAACTATCAACTAGTACTAATTTATTAAGGTCAAAATAATAAATACACGATAAGATTAAATCAGTCGTAGTGATTAGAGCAGACCAGCTGAGTTTAGATTTTAAAGGTGAGAAATATCAGTTAAATTACAAGATATTTTGTTTGGTCGACTACGAACGTCTCGTTACAGACTCAACCCATTAGCATTGCGAAGAGACATTACAAATTGTTGGAATTTTTACCAGCTGCTGAAATTTAAATACCATCGAGATCATCTGGATACACCTTGCGATTTATTCCAGTAATTTATTGCCACGCACAATCACATTATCGAAAGACCTTCCTTTGCACTTGTATTGCTACATTCTAACCGATACGATATTGAAACTTTAAGGAAAAGAGTTCATTCATTCTTAAAAAGCCAACCACGCACTTGGAAATACATTGGTTACCTAATCAGTGGAGGTAATCACTCAAAAACAGATGAGCTGTAAGCTCGTTTGTCCCCTATGCTATAAAACAAAGATCGCAGTAGAATGTCCCGCGCTACCGCGACCCCGACACTATTGTGGTGAGAACAAACACCATGATAGTTAGTCGTAATAGCCAATGCGGGCGTAAATTTGAGTTGGATTTTGACCACGCAAAAAAGGTAACGATGGCATTACATACTCATTCGGAATGGCAACATATTCCTGAGGAGTAAGGTGAAGTTGCTATGAATTTTCACGAGAAATAATATGAGAATTGTTAGTAATTACGTTACGTTACATAATTAAACCTCTAGTAGCTGTTATTGAAATTATTAACCGGGTCTTAACACGAATAAGTTTATGGCTCTAGTACCTACCAAGTACAGTACAGGTATAAAGATAAAGATATATGCTACACACAAAACTGATGCACCAAATTCTTTTCTCCAAGAGGAAAATATGAAACCAAAATCAAAGTTTATCAATAAATTATGACACATAAAATAATAATCCCCCAAATCAAAAACATAATAGAACTATTCAATTTTAAATGCCAACGATTTGATAATTATTTATCATTCTTTATATCTCAGATTAACTGTTACCTACCTGTTGTCGTATTTCATAATATTAAAATAAAAATTAATGCAACTGAATGACATTTTTAAAGAATTTTGATGAAATCATATAAAAGGAATTTTTCAGCAAATATAAGATAACCTACTTAGTGATTTACTATTCCGACTCCAAAGGCTAACTTGTAGTTCGAAACCGACCGATATATGAAAATTATTTCACGCAACAGATCATTTAAAAACAATGTATGCAATGAAACGTTGACAATAAACCAAATAAATCCAAGAGATGGCAGTAGGCTGGTTCTCTGATACTATGAATATATAATATTCTATATATCTAGTACCTCTTAAAGATACTTACGGCTGTCACGTTGAAATTCTCTACAGGCTTGATTTCCGGACATTTCCCCTCATGGACGACGCTAGCGGACGCAGCCGCAACAAAGGCAAATAACACCATACGCAGCATTTTCAATCAGTTTAAGAAAAAAAAAATTAAGTCCTCAATGCCAACTGCACACCACAGGAGACGGTGATGTACTGATCAGTGATGCTGTAAATTCACCCTTTTATACCTTTGCAACCGGGGGTCAGGGACAAAGTCCAATTTTCGCAGGATTATTTAATTGAAGGATTCATCGGCTCTCGAAACTTCTCGATCTAGTGAAGCAATGTGTAACATTCCATTTTATTCTCTACGGCTATATGCTATTCAATTTCTGTCTACTTACAGTTTGTTATCAGAACATCCATGTAATAAAACCAGTATTTGTTAGCTGATAGTGGCTTATCGCAAATTAGGAAGGAATGTAAAGCATTGTACTTATATGACGGCATAAATATTGGTGTGATTTGTTGATAAATATATGTAATTGCACGGATAAAGTTTTTAGTAGTCTTTTGAAATAATACTATATTATACTAGAACTTAAAATTAATTCCACAGAAGTTTATATACTCTGGAGAAGATATCGAAATTAATGACAATAAATTAAAACATATCGTAAGTATTTTGCATACTATCCCATCACAATATTACCACTAATAGACAAAGGTCGACGATATAGAAGTGGATGATAGTGGAATGGTGAAATTGTAACTTCAGTTGAAGATGATATCATTAAGACGAAGTTAGGTCGGTTAGTCCATCGTGGCAAATTCGACAGGAATTATCACGATCACTTCCAGGTAACTTATGAATGTCATGAATTTAAGGGTCATTTTTCAATAATATTACCAAACCCCTTCCCGTATAAGAAAAGCATATTAATATGCAATTAACATGTTAAGATCTATATTGATAAAACTAGTGTAAATGAATATAAAGATCTTAAGAAATTATGAGTACGATTAAGAATCCATATATATAGTTTTATTTCTGAGTTTTCCTATAAGTGGGGAATGCTTTTTGAACCTAATCTTAGCACTTATGATATCCTCTGAATGAAAAAGAGTAGTATCATATTTCCTTACTCTTTCAAAGTATTTTTACTAATTAAAAAATAAATTATTATTATCATGAAGTATAAAAGTGTTTACATATAATTATAGGTGACTACGTATCGATAAGTGTAATCAGGAAGATAAGTATAGCATTGAAAATAATATTAATTAACTAAAATTTGCATGCTCGCAATGTAGCTAAAGATAGGACTATTATTACTTAAAACTCATATATAACTCATAATTTTCATATAAATATACTGTATGTGTAACTGACTATTTGTTCCCTTTCAACTACTGAACAATCACTACAGGTTCTCAACAAAACTTGAAGTAAAAAAGGTTTGAATCATGAGGAAATAGAAATAGAAACAATATTTATTTAAATAAACTTAATAATTACAAGCATTTTTTTTTTATTCTACGACTCATTTGGTAAGTTAATTCAGCACAAGTAGTAGAACAAGCAAAAAACTTGCTAGTTGTTCGTTATAATTGTGTGTACATAAATGTGAATGTAAAACAAACTACCAAACGGCACTAAGTGACTGGTGTAAATAATTAGTTAACTAACGTAATGTCCAAAGAACGAACATAGAGTATCTTGAATGCAGTAGAAGAATTTGCGGGAAATAGTGGTTTTATAATTACGTTGATCTCGTAACAACTGCATCCATTTGCACTTATCTAATAACCATGTTGCCATTAAGACTACTTATCTATAAATACTTTTAACTAATCATAGCAGCCACTGGATTATATCCCTGTAATCTGGCATAATTTTCTGTATTCAGAAGTACGCACAGATTGCAAAAATTAAAAGAATAAAAGACTGTATAAATGTTATATTGTGTTTATAAGTCTTATTGAATGGAAAACTGGTCTAATATATACGTATCTTAATAGCTATAATAAAAAAAATATATAAATAAAATTGTCTCTCTGTTATTTCTAATCTTTGAAACAATCGGACCAATTTTGACGAGACTTTCAATCGCAGACAGCAGTTAATATTATCAGGAGTAACTTAAACTACTTTAATTTAGAAATTTTATCTATTAAAGAAAATCACAACAAAATCCGTTGCGTAATTTTAAAGATTAAGCATACATACGGACAGACAGCGACAGCCACTTTGTTTTATACTATTTAATGATAATGATGAAGAAGAAAATAATCAAAAAGATGAATAGCCACTACTTTATCCACGTGGATGAAATGTATAGGGTAATATTTAGTTATATATAATATTAATAATATATAACTGATCGTAAGAGCATGGTATATCATGACCTTTTAGGTTTCAATGCACAAAGGGCATCATTGATCATGCAGAGCCGATTTGTAAACACTACAAGTAGAGCATGAAGTGACAATAGCGTCACTAACGAACTTCATGAAATGACTACCACAGTAACTACACCACTACTACAAATAATACCATTAAATAATTACCACAATCATAAATACATACAGGCAAAACAGCTCAGATAGGCTTATAGAATATACTTTTATTTGTATTTTTTTTATTAATCCTTTATTGCACTATATAAAATAATGTATACAATTGGCGAGCTTAATGCCATATGGCATTCTCTACCAGAACTCTACAGAATTTTACAGAAAAGAGAAATATTACACTTAAACGTTTATAAATACATTAGTATAACTGCAATACGGCGGCCTTATGGCTAAAAGCAATTTAATGTAATACGAGGTCTACTTCGTTTGGGACTAGATGGCGCTGTGTTAATTATTCCGGATTGTTAGTACTCCTATTATTAAATATTTCTATTAAATACACTTACCAATTAATGGTCATTAGAGGAATTATAACATAAGGGTGACCTACCCCAAAATATTTTTTGACAACTTTTTTTATTTATAACTGGCTACTCGCCCTAGCTTCGAACGAGTGGACATGTATTATATATATATAAATAAACCTTCCTCTAGAATTACTCTATGTATTTAAAAAATCGCTTCAAAATCCGTTGCGTACTTTTAAAGATTTAAGCATACATAGGGACAGACAGCGACAGCGACTTTATTTTATACTATGTAATGATTATAATCATTTAACATTTCTCCTTTCTGCCATCATCTTCTATTTTTAAAGCGATATAGATAGACAGACAGCGACAGCGACTTTATTTTATACTATATAAAGATTGTAATCATTTAAAATTTCTGCTTTCTGCCATCATCTTCTATTTTTAAAGCGATATAGATTTATGTGGCAAAACAACGTTTTGCCTGGTAAACTAGTATGAAAAGAAAATAAACATGACGTTTCAATTTATCTAATAATACGGATATAAATGATAATTTAATAAGATAACGTAATATCCAGCACTCAATTTTCACCTGCCTTGAAGAATCGTGCGTTACTTATGTTATAAACGCGAAACTTAGTATGTTTGTTACTCTTTCAAGCAATAACTAGTGAACAGATTTTGATGAAAATTTACAATACTATATGTAGTATATGGGACATCAGAATAACATAACATTTTGTCGGCCTAAGTGGTATAGTGATTTAGCCCACTGCTTTACTTCTATTGTTCCGACTCCTCTCTCGACGCAAATATTCGTATTCATCAATTGTTTGTAATTCTCTGGTGTACATTTTGTATGTATTTACAAAAACAATGTACATAAGTATTTCTATCACTTATCTAGTATTAAGAATAACCCAAGATTTACTTAGTTTTGGCTAGATGGCACTGTGTGAATTGTCCTGGGCTATTAATCGTGATTTAATAATGGTTATGACATTATTAATCCGAGTAATCTTAGTCCCTATGTGATATTCATAGTATACAATCATTTTATCTAAATCACATTAATCCACTCTTCGTAGTTCTGTTATAATTGCCGTAATAGATTTTTTTATCGTAGAATATTACTGCCGGTTGCGGTAACGGTATATGCTATCGGAACAATAATAGTATTAATAACATAAGCAATATCAGAATCAAATCAGTTATTAACATGATAAAGTTACCGGAATTTAGTAAGAACTAACTAGAAAATTTTATTACACATTAGACAAGTGTATGACTGAAATGAAGTCTTATATATAGTAGACGTAGTGGTTAACCCATAATAGGTTGGTATGTAATAGGATATTTTTTATAAGTTATGTGGGTATATCTGTCTCACCTTTTTAGCTCCCAAACTTCATGTAAAGTAAGAAAGGGCTGTTTCTTTGTAGGGTATGATATAGTAGTGATATTTCAGAATGCGCAGGTATGACATCAAAGTCCTGCGGAAAGATAACGCAAGAGAGGTACCGTAGATGTTAGTTATATTCCTATACAGTTCCCTCATGAACAATGAAGATTATACAATTCCACCAGACGGGACAGGCCAAGTAACGATCCGCTAGATGCAAATTGGGAATCGTTATTTAATTAATTAATACAGTATAAACTATGTAATATTATGTTATCTGTGGTATAAACTTACAGCTAATTCCCAACACGTTTATATCTTAAAACTGTATATAATTATATACACATAAGCATAAGAGAGGAACATTCTAATTTTATTCATTACAGAAGGCAAGCCGTATACACGTCAGCATCTTAGAGCTAACCCAAAAATGAGTTCAAGAGATGCAATGCTCGAACAGTGGGACAATTATTAGCGTGGTTTCTAACCTGACGACGGGTGACACTTCTCACATAATTCGGTGGAATATTATTATAAATCCTATACTTTCTTCAACTGCGGGATTTTCTATTTGTTTGCGCAGCAGCAAACAATAATAAACTAGTATTAGTTTCGGCCTGAGTAGTAATTTTTTATTTTATTTAATATTTAAAGGCTACATGACCCATATTATAAATACCTGACTGGCATACATAAGAAATAATAATAAAGTATAAAAATAAATTTTCTCTGTGGTCACGGCACTGACAACAACCTGCCTCGGAAAATCTCTTCGGCCAGAAGTCCTCCTTCATGAAGCTGGACTGCATGTTGGTTACAAACGCTTCAAACTCGTGTTGTGACTCGACTCTAGCTGCGTCAACCTCTATGTCAGGTTACTCCTGGACAACTCCGTATGTAGTCGACAATGT